TGTAGATTGTGTGTGTGTGTGTGTGTGTGTGTGTGTGTGTGTGTGTGTGTGTCGGGGGAGGGGGGGTGGGCCAAGATTAAAATTAGGCACCAACTTAATTGTGAAGCTTGTAAAATCCCATATTTTTAGGATTTAAAGGTTACTCGGCTTATCGGTTTGCCAAAAGGTAATTCTCAGCAGCCAGTCAGGCGATTCAGGCATTCAGGGATGATTCCCAATCTGGCCATGCTTTTGGATTCTCTCATTTCTCTATCTACTCAGTTTTTCTTGCTGGAAAACTTAAGAGTCTATCCTGATATCTTCCTTCCTTCACTCCTAATCCAGTCACTCACTGGATTCTATTTTTTCAAACTCTCCAATATAACTCTGAGGACTTTTTGCTTTCCTCCATATCCACAAATGCCAATATAGCCAAGCCATCATCATCACTTGCTTAATTGCTATCACAGCCTCCTAACTTATTTTACTCTTGCAATCTCATTTCCAAGCCTTTACCAGAGTGACGTTTTCATTCTTACTACTTAGGTTTCAAAGTACACTTTCCCCTAAAACCCAGTCTTTCCTCAATCCTGGAAAATTTCTAACTATCATCTATACGAATATTGTTCCTCCACCCTCCCTTCATTCTCTCCTCCTGGAAAGCTTAATACACATTTGAATCCTCTTACTATAATCTCCAAGTCTCGGTCTCTTTAACTCTTTACCCATCCTCTTTCTCTCTCCTCCCAGAAATCCTTTGTGGAGTCTCCATTCTAGAACAGGTCTCCTAGGTACATGCTCTGACAGCACCCAGATATTTCTTTCCTGCCTTGGGTAATAATTTTCACTGAGGTGATTATTTGTTTAACATGTGTACCCTTTAGGCTGTAGACTTGGAATGCAAAGACCAGGTGTGTTATGTTCCTTACAATATTCCCCAGTATCTAGCTGGTGATCTGTCATATTGTAGGTGTTCAATAAACACTTACTACAGAAATGAAAAAATCCAAATGTTGTAATATGTAAGCACACCCACCACACTTACACATGCACAAGCACCACCATGTCTGCCTCATTCTGAAATTGACTCTGAATACATGTCAGAGGAAAAGAGTACAGAGGGACCTGGTGAGTGAGATGTAGGTCTAAAGGAATCAAAGTGTTCTTCTGCTTGTACATGATGTAGAATGACACCAGTAATGTAGTTGTATATGCACATGGGGTAATAATGTCTGATTCATTCTATTATCTTTCCTACCCCCATACCCCCTCCCTTACCTTCATTCCTCTCTGCCTATTCCAAAGTACTTCTATTCTTCCCTA